GCTGCTGTTGCTTGGATCTGCTTTCCATGAGAAGCAGGACTCCACATAGTCGTGCTGTCCCAGATCTGGTGTTTCCAGGTTAGCAGCTGATCTCTGGATGCCGGGTCTTTGGGTGTACAGTATACGTTTCCAAAAAACAGCCACTCAAGATGGCGCGGTCTCCGCGGCTGAGCCGGCGCTCTGGGAGAGATTTCAGCCGCAGTCTAACCACCATCCGCTTTCTCCAGGATTCCACCAACTTTCCCGGCTGCAAACTGTCTCTCAGCTGAATATCCTCTGCTTATTTGGGCTGTATGTTACCCGCTTCAGTTGCTCACCCTAACAGCTCCTGGACAAGGCACTGGACACATCCGTCTATACCTCCGCCATTTTTTCTCCCCCTCTGAAGTGGGCTTTTTATGCATTACTTATTTTGTGTTTGGCAGGTATTGCCACATCTGGGGAAGTACACGCAGAAGGAGCTGAAGAAACAGAAACACTTTGTGAGATGGAACAACTTCTCTCTTCACTTAGTGAGATGAAGGAAAGACTAGGTGGCATGGCTCTGTGGAGACAGCAAATCTGTGCAATTGCAAGGGTCCGCTTATTAAAGCTAAAGCATGAAAGAAAATCTCTTTTATCACTGTGAGTATCAGAGTGCCAAAGCTTTTGGTCAGTCGATGCATTAAAAAATACTAAGGCCTAAAAACAAGAAAAACAAACAAATATAAAAATAAATGTTTGCATCTGCAAAACTGGATAAAGTATAAAACTCAATCTAGTTCATGGGCCTAGTTTTTATCTACTAGCTGACTAGCAAGTGGAATTTATATGATCTTAGAGCCAATTTTAGGGGAAGAGTTCAATTAATGTAAGTTTTTGTGTAATATTTGCTATCCTTTATTTATTTTGGGGTGTTTTTTTTGGTGTGTGTTTTTGTTAATCCTCACCTGAGGATATGTTTCTATTGATTTTAGAGAGAATGAAAGGGAGTAGGAGAGACAGAGAGAGAGAGAAACATCAATGTGAGAGAGACACATCAATTGGTTGCCTCTGGCACTCTCCCCAACCAGGAATCAAGCTTGCAACCGAGGTACATGCAATTGACCAGAATGGAACCCGGGGCCCTTTAGTCTGTGGGCTGACTCTCCATTAACTGAGTCAAACCTGCTAGACTATTTGCTCTCCTTTAGATTTTCTATGGCAGATGACAGAAACATTGGGATGTAGACCTTATTTCCAGTGTCCATATGCCAATGTCTCATTTTAGTTGTTATCTAGTCATGCTACTGACATAGCCCTAGCAGTCCTGACTCTCCCATTATGTCCTACTTGCTCTAACCTAGATGTCCTAACTTCCCTCCAGCCCTCTTAAGTGATGGTAGCTCACTCTCCATACATACTGTGTGCATAATGGGTACCATCGCTGCTCCTAATAATCATGTCACCTCTCAGTAGAACCCTGGTGTCCATGGGATTTTGGCTATCAATCAAATTATGTGCCTTGTCTATGAATATGTTGATTAAGCATCAAGGAAATAGTTGGGTTGGCACATAATAGAATCTCAATAAGTACTTGCTAAATAAATAAGTAATGAGAATTCATTGAGAATATTTGACTAGGAGATGAGCATGATTTAACAAAATCTTTAAGCTAAATCTGGCAATACCATATAACGGTGCCTCAAGAGACGCCATTCCTTTAGCAAGAATTGCAACAGGATATTTCATAAAATTAGAAATTAAAAATGAAGAAAGTTTACAAAATAAGATATCATGAAAATATAATAAAAAATTTTCAACTTATTTAAAATGGAGAGCACAGGAAAATAAAGAGTAAAAAATAATTGAAAATTTGAGCCTGGAGATTCAAGAAACCATGCAATCATCACAGGACTAAGTGAAGAGGATTGGCCATGAAGAAAATTGAGTATAAAGTGTTGGTGAATAAACACCACACTGGAATTCTAGGAAGAGGCAGAATCTAGACACAGAGTTAAAGGACACATGTCCCATGATAGTGTACAGGGTGGCTCATGCCAGAGAGGAACCAGAGAAATGAACAAAAGGATAAATGTACAATTTATCATCTCTAACTTAGAGGTAGGAAAAGGACAGGGTACTCAGTAACTGAGTCAGAGGGCTATATGTTTAGTTTTCATAATTTACTGATCTCATTCAATTAGAATCTGCCTAGATCATTTTAAAAGGTTAGGACATGACGATGCATTCACACTGGCAATTTTCTTCTGTGTAGGCTATTGATTCTAGGAATTGGAGTTTTCTCTGTTCTGTGGGACTACATCTTCTTAACTATGTATGATGTCAGTTACACATGGGAACTTTCTCCCCATTTATACTTCCTTGCTCCTGGACAACCACCACATGATCCTCTCACTCAATTATTAATCATCAATAATACAGGTAATAATGTGGTGAATAATTCTTCTCCAATACATTCACTGTTCAGAGCATTATTTAGACAACATAAACATGAGAGAAAAAAATGAGCTTTTTGCTTCTTCAGCAGGTGTTCAAAACAATTTATGAAGGTTGGGGATGATGAATATACAATCCCAAAATAGAACAGGAATTAAGAAAGTATTTGTCAAGGAAAAATAAATGATCTGATGACATTTTGCAAAATAAAAATCTTTATACCCCAAAACACATTTTAATTGCTTAAGATATAATTCAAATGCCATATTTATTCATTTAAAATGTACAGTTTAATGGCTGTTAGTGTATTCACAGAATCATATAATCTTCAATACAATTCATTTTAGAATATTGTCATCTCAAAAAGTAATCCCATATCATTAGTAATTATTTTTATTCACTATGCCCGCAGCTCTGATCAATCACAAATTTATTTTCTATTTCTATGGATTTGCTACTCTAGACATTTAATAGGAGTAGGTCCATACACTATATGTATGATCTTTTGTGACTGACTTTTTTCACTTAGAATGTTTTCAAAGTTCATCTATGTTGTAACATGTGTCAATACTTCATTTTTTAAATTGTTGAATAATGTTCTATTGAATAGATATACCACATTTTATTATTCATCAGAGGGGTGTATTTTGATTGGTTTTTTCAATAATTTGCAATTATGAATAATGCTGCTATAAACATCCATGTACTAGCTTTTAAGTGAATGTGATTTTACTCATTTCTTTCGGATATAAACCTGGAGTAGAATTGTTGTGTTATATAGTGATTATATTTTATCTTTTAAGGAACTGTCAAACTATTTTTTTAAGTGACTGCATTAATTTACATTTGCACTAGCATTTTGTGAGGATTCTAATTTCTATACATAAAAAAACAAATTATTAAAAAATAAATAATATACCCCTAATTGTAGTGCTGAAGTGCTATTTTATATTCCTAAGTAAAGAAGGCTGTGATGTACCTTACAAAGAAAATATGTGTGTTAGGTTAGTTTTGTTCAGGCATGCATTATAGTGCTGTTGGCTGGGAGATCAAGGTTAATGAATCAACAATGAATATACAGAAACATACATAAAATAAAATAATGCACTGGTTGGTTATAGACCAGAGGCTTACAGAGACCTAAACCTGTGTTTTCCCTATAAGCACTGACCCAGTATTCACTAATTTAGTGTTTATGATAACTTTCTAGTGACTTTATAGAAGTAAGTACATAACTACTGTGAATAATAAGAATCAACTGTAAATGTCTTGCAAATATCTTATTTCATCCTGTAGATTATCTTTTCACTTTGTTATTGGTATCCTTTGAGGCATAATGTTTTAGTTTTTATGAAGTCCAACTTATTTTTCCCCTTCCCTGTGCTTTTGATGATATATTTAAGTAGGCTGTGCCTAATGCAAGATCACAAACATTTACTCCTGTATTTTCTTCTAAGGCTCTTATACTTTTAGTTCTTACATTTTGAGTCTGTGATAGATTTTGAGTTCATTTTTGTGTGTGGTGTGAGGAAGGGATGCAACTTCAATAGATTTCCAGTTATCTTCTTGGGAGGGTCAGGCCACCAAACTTTCCCATTCCCTCCAGCTTCATGTAGCAAGATCTTGAGACCACCAGAAATGGGGGGCTGAGAGATCTGGAGTTCTCTTCTTACCCATAAGGGAGACGCTCTAATTTATGGAGAAGTGGTTTTCAATCATCCTCATAACAGTTCCTCCCTGGAAGACACTATAGACTGGGTTTGAGGAGGTAGAATCCCCTGAACCCTTCTCTAACCCATTCAGAGGGGAGCTTTTGTTATGCTGATCAAGAAAGAGTTGTGAAGGTATAGGTCTTTGTCACAGTTTCTTAGTGTTCTTACACAGATTTAGTAGATTTTTCTTAAATAAATTTCTCTTTTCATTTTCTGTATATCTTTAAGATAATAAAAAATTTCATCTTGTTGGGGTTTTTTAGTAATTTTTACAAGTTATGGTTGTTTTTCTGGGGAGAAGGTTTATGGAGCTCTTTATATAGCCATTCAACAAGTTGTCTTCCTGTATCAAGAAACATTTTGAAAATCAATTAACAATCTAGTGAGAGTGAAGTGAGATTTAGCCAATTTGGTGATTAATTAGTAGAGATTATCTATGTCATTAAAACCATATTGGTATAGCTACTCAATGAAATCTTCTTGGAAAAAAATCTATTACATATGCACCATATAACAGTGATCATAGTGAATAAATATATTATAAAGTAAAATCCATCAAAGTGAGTAGATTTATAAATTCACAGTAGCAGGCATGTTATTATGTGGAAAGATATCCTAACAGTCCATATTACAGTAAATATTGCATAAGGTCATTAATTTTCATTTCACTGCACTAGTTGACGTTGATTTTCTTTGTTTTGAGATACCTAATACATTAAACTACAATTTAGGGGCAAGCATTGATGACTTTATACATTCCGTGGAGCTTCAGAACATAGCTTTGGAAGTGGATGCATCTGGAAATAGAAATGGCATAGACGATCCATCTTATAATGGAGCCATTATAGTGTCTGGTCACGACAAGGTATGCTGGTCTCCATTTAAGAAATTATCCTACAGGTGTGCAAAGCTAATAAACTATCAATATACTCCGGCCTTCAATTTAGGAAACAAAATGAAAAACAAATACAGGGGTACTTCTTTCATTACTTAGTTAATCATAGTCATTTGTATGATAAATAATTCATATATCAGTCACTGTCTACCCCACACTGTGTGTATTAGCAAAATAAATACCATACAATACCCACTGTCAAGAACATATTTAAGTCCGAAAAGTATGTATTTCCTCCCAAGGATTTTCTAATACATATATGCTGAAACTTCTGTTTTAATCTTAAACAATAATATTTGATTTTACTGTAAGCCAGACACCTGGTGTCCTGAAAGCCAGATACCACCTATATGCATGTTTCGGCTTATTTAACACAATGTTTGTTTTTGTTCAGATTATTTAACACTGTTTTTAAAACATGGTTTTTAATTAAAGTATTGAATTTTTATTTCTTTAGGGAAAAAATGAAGATCTCTGAGAATTTATAACCTTGCGTTTTTTATTTTAGAATTACACATTTTCATTAGCATGCAATACCAAGAGACTGAATTGCTTCCCAGTTCTTATGGATATTGTTAGTAATGGGCTGCTTAGAATAGTTAGACCATCAGCACGTATTCAAACTGGGCAAAGTACGTCTTTGCTGGTGAGTATGTACTCTATGACTCCCTCATCAGGCATCTCCTGGGTGGCTGGGATTTTATTTTTATTGAGTAAAATCTGCAGGGTAAATTAGTGTTTAGATTCATGCAAGTTCTGTGGCTTTGATAAATCAATGTAATTTTTCAAGCTTCGATTTTTTTAATGTAAATAGAACTAACAAACTATATTTTTAAGAGAACGTGAAGAAAGAAAGTCAAATCCTGCAGTTCTGTGACTGGCACTTTCCTTATTCATACATGAGGGTTTCAAGCCAAAAATCAAGCTTCCAGACTGGATAGATATTCAAGAGTTTGGTAATAAAAGAGAAGTAAGGCAGGGTTATACATAGTCTGTTTATGCTCAATTAATATTTGACAAAGGAGGCAAGAACATACAATGGAGCCAAGATAGTCTCTTCAATAAATGGTGTTGGGAAAATTGGACAGATATATGCAAGAAAATGAAACTAGACCACCAACTTACACCATACACAAGAATAAACTCAAAATGGATAAAGGACTTAAATGTACGACAGGAAACCATAAAAATTCTAGAAGAATCCAAAGGCAACAAAATCTCAGACATATGCCAAAGCAATTTCTTCACTGATACAGCTCCTAGGGCACTTGAAACTAAAGAGAAAATGAACAAATGGGACTACATCAAAATAAAAAGCTTCTGCACAGCAAAAGAAACCATCAACAAAACAACAAGAAAACCCACTGCATGGGAAAACATATTTGCCAACGTCATATCTGATAAGGGCCTAATCTCCAAAATTTATAGGGAACTCATACAACTTAACAAAAAGAAGATAAACAATCCAATCAAAAAATGGGCAAAGGATCTAAATAGACACCTTTCAAAAGAGGACATTCAGAAAGCCAAGAGACATATGAAAACATGCTCAAAGTCACTAATCATCCGAGAGATGCAAATCAAAACAACAATGAGGTACCATCTCACACCTGTCAGAATGGCTATCATCAACAAATCAACAAACGACAAGTGCTGGAGAGGATGTGGAGAAAAAGGAACACTTGTGCACTGCTGGTGGGAATGCAGACTGGTGCAGCCACTATGGAAGACAGTATGGAGTTTCCTCAAAAAACTGGAAATGGAACTCCCATTTGACCCTGTGATCCCACTTCTAGGAATATATCCCAAGAAACCAGAAACACCAATCAGAAAGGATATATGCACCCATATGTTCATAGCAGCACAATTCACCATAGCTAAGATCTGGAAACAGCCTAAGTGCCCATCAGTAGATGAATGGATTAGAAAACTGTGGTACATCTACACGATGGAATACTATGCTGCTGTAAAAAAGAAGGAACTCTTACAATTTGCAACGGCATGGATGGAGCTGGAGAGCATTATGCTAAGTGAAATAAGCCAGTCAATGAAGGAAAAATACCACATGATCTCACTCATTCATGGATAATAAAGACCATTACAAACTTTTGAACAATAATAGATACAGAGGCAGAGCTGCCTCAAACTGATTGTCAAACTGCAGTGGGAAGGCCAGAGAGGGTTGGGGGGCAGAAGGGAGGGGAGCATAAGAGACGGGGGGTAGGGGAGGCCAGGGGATTGTCAAGGGCGGGGAAAAAAAAGGACACATATGTAATACCCTTTGTAATACTTTAAGCAATAAAACAATAAAAAAAATTCAAATTTGTTCATGCAACTCATTATATTCTTTGCCTTTTCAAAAGGACGTGGAGATTCCATTGTTATTCACGATGTCTTACGTGTTCTTGGTGTTTTTGTCATCCAGTTATGCTCCTTACATTGCCATGAGCAGCATCGATGATTATAAGGTAACAATGAGTAACTGAAACTTCCCTTACTTTGTATGATCATATGTTGAAGGTAATATAATTACAGGATTTTTCAAGAGGAGATTTATACACATTTGCTTGAGCAGCCAATTCAGACAAAAATCTTAAGTTGTAAAGATAAAAGGAAGTTTTATAAGTGGAAATATAAATGCATAGATAAATAAATAGAGTCTACAGAATGATTCCAAAATTTATATGAGTATGCAAATAACTGAAAATAAAATAACTTTGAAAAAGAAAAACAAAATTGGAAGATTTATGCTTCTGATTGCAAGGCTTACTACAGTGATAGTAAATAAAAATGTGTTGTATTAAGTAAGGATAATCATATAAATATATGAAATGGAATAGACATTTCAGATATAAACCCACACATATATCATCAACGGATTTTCAATAAAACTGCCAGGGAATTCAAATGGGGTAAGGTTAGTCTTTTCAGAAAATTGTATGGAAAAAACTTGATACTGTTATGAAAAACATGTTCTCGACACTCAATTCTCACTGTACACAAAATTATTTTGAAATGAGTCATAGGTCTTCTGGTAGACAATATTTCCTAGTTGGGACAAAGGAAGCATAGACCATACCAAAAAAATGTTATCTTGACCTTCATCAAAGTTCAAACCTTTTCTTCTTTGTAAATCACCAAGAAGCAAATAAAAAGCTGTAGGCTGGGAAAGAAATATTCACAATGCACATATATAACAAAAGATTTGTGTCAGCAATATAAAGAGTTCTTACACCCCAGTAATAGAAGATAACCTAATTTCAAAGATGGGCAAAATATTAAAATAAAGCAGATACCTTACCAAAGAAGATATGTAGATGGAAAATGCTTCTATTAAAAGATGGGTAATATCATGTGTAACCCAGAAAATAACCCCAATGAGATTTCTTTACACACCAAATAAAATGAATACATGTTAAAATGACTGACAATACAGAGTTTGTGAGGGTGTCGAGAAACTGGGATTCTCTTGCATAATCCACATTTTCTTAAACCTCAAGTTGAAATAGCATCTGTATTTTTGCTGTCTCCCGCTCAGAACAAAGTGTGGTCCCAGCTTCGGATCTCCGGGCTCTTCCCTTCCGCTTACTGGTTTGGGCAGGCGTTGGTGGACGTCCCACTATACTGGCTGATGTTCCTTCTAATATATTTATTGGATGTTATTTTAAGCTTCCAAGAATCTATGTTTAACGATTTAATTCACAATGTGGAAGTAAGTTACAATATTCATCCAGCAAATTATCATTGTATGACATGGTTAGAAACTTTGAAAATGCAAACTGTTTTCATTGATATTCACATGGTCATAAATTATTAATAACTATAAGACCTGGTGCTGTGCTGATGTTTTGAATCTTAAATGTTTTCTTAGATTACATTTGTCTTTAACTAAAATGCAGCACTTCTGTTTATTGCAGATCCCATGTGCTATTGGTTCTGTACCATCCCTTGTTTTCTTTACGTATGTAATTTCGTTCATTTTTCGCAAGGGGAGAAAAAATAGTGGCATTTGGTCTTTGGTCTACTTTGTTGTAAGTATGTTTCTTTTGAACACGTATTTTATACATGTAATGTACGATTCTGAGACAGTAGTTTAAATTTGCCCTTGGTAAAATACATTAAGATGAGAGTCTAACATATTTAAAGTTTCCCTGCCTTAGATATGGATCCTCTTCAAAATCTGCCTCTTTCCCCCTCCCTATTTCTACCCGGTCTTTCTTGAAAAGTGGCTACATTTTTTCTCAACATAAAATATTTAACAGAAGGAAACCTGGAAACCATCTGTATTTTCTTTTTACTGAAAAAGAAATAACCCCAAAGATCTCCGTGACATTATGCAAATACTGTAACCAGCTTAGTTAAAACTAGAAGCAACTTCTCCAACTCTCTACTAAGAATTCCATAAAGCGACACTTAATTTATCTAAATTAGGAGGAAAAATATATGTAATCTATAAGCATCTATTCTAATTTCTGGTCATCAACAGTTTTTTTTAAAATTCTTTATTAGTTAAGGTATTACAAATGTGTCCTCATCCCCCCCATTAAACCCCCATTCTCAGAACTTTACCTACCTTGTTCTCCACAGTGTCTTAGCTTCCTCTCCTCTACATACTAGTAGTGAGACTGCTGGTCTTTGCCTGGGCTCTGCCTCTCTAAGCTGTGGCCTAGAAACTCAAGGAATGTGGAGCCATCATAGGACTCACGTCATTTATTTACTATCTGTAAGAGATCAATCTCTGCTTCCTGATGTCCAGTGTCTTTCATAATTTTATCTTTTTTTATATATTTTTTTATTTTTTTAAATTTTTTTATTGCTCAAAGTATTACAAAGGGTATTATATATGTGTCCTTTTTTATCTCCGCCCTTGACAATCCCCTGGCCTCCCCTATCCCCCAGTGTCTTATGTCCATTGGTTTTGCTTATATGCATGCATACAAGTCCTTCGGTTGATCTCTTACTCCCCTCCCTTCTGCCCCCCAACCCTCTCTGGCCTTCCCACTGCAGTTTGACAATCAGTTTGAGGCAGCTCTGCCTCTGTATCTATTATTGTTCAAAAGTTTGTAATGGTCTTTATTATCCATGAATGAGTGAGATCATGTGGTATTTTTCCTTCATTGACTGGCTTATTTCACTTAGCATAATGCTCTCCAGCTCCATCCATGCCGTTGCAAATTGTAAGAGTTCCTTCTTTTTTACAGCAGCATAGTATTCCATCGTGTAGATGTACCACAGTTTTCTAATCCATTCATCTACTGATGGGCACTTAGGCTGTTTCCAGATCTTAGCTATGGTGAATTGTGCTGCTATGAACATATGGGTGCACATATCCTTTCTGATTGGTGTTTCTGGTTTCTTGGGATATATTCCTAGAAGTGGGATCACAGGGTCAAATGGGAGTTCCATTTCCAGTTTTTTGAGGAAACTCCATACTGTCTTCCATAGTGGCTGCACCAGTCTGCATTCCCACCAGCAGTGCACAAGTGTTCCTTTTTCTCCACATCCTCTCCAGCACTTGTCGTTTGTTGATTTGTTGATGATAGCCATTCTGACAGGTGTGAGATGGTACCTCATTGTTGTTTTGATTTGCATCTCTCGGATGATTAGTGACTTTGAGCATGTTTTCATATGTCTCTTGGCTTTCTGAATGTCCTCTTTTGAAAGGTGTCTATTTAGATCCTTTGCCCATTTTTTGATTGGATTGTTTATCTTCTTTTTGTTAAGTTGTATGAGTTCCCTATAAATTTTGGAGATTAGGCCCTTATCAGATATGACGTTGGCAAATATGTTTTCCCACGCAGTGGGTTTTCTTGTTGTTTTGTTGATGGTTTCTTTTGCTGTGCAGAAGCTTTTTATTTTGATGTAGTCCCATTTGTTCATTTTCTCTTTAGTTTCAACTGCCCTAGGAGCTGTATCAGTGAAGAAATTGCTTTGGCATATGTCTGAGATTTTGTTGCCTTTGGATTCTTCTAGAATTTTTATGGTTTCCTGTCGTACATTTAAGTCCTTTATCCATTTTGAGTTTATTCTTGTGTATGGTGTAAGTTGGTGGTCTAGTTTCATTTTCTTGCATGTATCTGTCCAATTTTCCCAGCACCATTTATTGAAGAGACTATCTTGGCTCCATTGTATGTTCTTGCCTCCTTTGTCAAATATTAATTGAGCGTATTGGTTGGGGCTGATTTCTGGGCTCTCTATTCTATTCCATTGATCTATATGTCTGTTCTTGTGCCAGTACCAGGCAGTTTTGAGAACAGTGGCTTTGTAATACAGCTTGATATCTGGTATTGAGATCCCACCTACTTTGTTCTTTCTCAGGATTGCTGCAGCTATTCGGGGTCTTTTTTTATTCCAGATGAATTTTTGGAGAGTTCGTTCTAGATCTGTGAAGTATGCCGTTGGTATTTTAATGGGAAGTGCGTTGAATTTATAGATTGCTTTGGGTAGTATGGACATTTTAATGATGTTGATTCTACCAATCCATGAACACGGTATGTTCTTCCATCTGTTTATGTCTTCCTCTATCTCTTTTTTCAACGTCCTGTAGTTTTCTGAGTAGAGGTCTTTTACCTCTTTAGTTAAGTTTATTCCTAGGTAGCTTAATTTTTTTGGTGCGATGGTAAATGGGATTGTTTTTATAATCTCTCTTTCTGAAAGTTCACTATTGGTGTATAGAAATGCCTCAGATTTCTTGGCATTAATTTTGTATCCTGCTACTTTGCCAAATTCATGTATTAAGTCTAGTAGTTTTTTGATGGAGTCTCTAGGGTTTTGTATGTATAATATCATGTCGTCTGCAAATAAGGACAGTTTTACTTCCTCTTTTCCAATTTGGATGCCTTTTATTTCTTCTTCTTGTCTAATTGCAATGGCTAATACTTCCAGTACTATGTTGAACAGGAGTGGTGAGAGTGGGCATCCCTGTCTTGTTCCTGTTTTTAGGGGAAATGGTGTTAGTTTTTGTCCATTGAGTATGATGTTGGCTGTGGGTTTGTCATATATGGCTTTTATTATGTTGAGGTATGATCCTTCTATTCCCACCTTGCTGAGAGTTTTTATCAAAAATGGGTGTTGGATTTTGTCAAATGCTTTTTCTGCATCAATTGATATGACCATGTGGTTTTTTTCTTTCAATTTGTTTATGTGATGTATCACGTTTATTGATTTGCGTATATTGTACCATCCTTGCATCCCTGGGATAAATCCTACTTGGTCATGGTGTATGATCTTTCTGATGTACTGCTGGATCCGATTTGCTAAGATTTTGTTGAGGATTTTGGCATCTATGTTCATGAGGGATATTGGCCTGTAATTCTCTTTCATTGTGTTGTCTTTACCTGGTTTTGGTATTAGGGTGATGCTGGCTTCATAGAATGAGCTTGGAAGTGTTCCTTCCTCTTGAATTTTTTGTAGTAGTCTGAGGAGGATAGGTTTTAGTTCTTCCTTGAATGTTTGGTAAAACTCCCCTGTGAAGCCGTCTGGTCCTGGGCTTTTGTTTGCTGGAAGCTTTTTGATGACTGCTTCAATTTCTTCCATAGTTATTGGCCTATTGAGATTTTTAGATTCTTCCTGATTGAGTGCTGGAATGTTGTATTTTTCTAGGAATTTGTCCATTTCCTCCAGGTTGTCTAGTTTGTTGGAGTAGAGCTGTCCATAGTATTTTTTAACAATCATTTGTATTTCTGTGGGGTCTGTTGTTATTTCGCCTCTATCGTTTCTGATTTTGTTTATTTGGGTCCTCTCTCTTTGCTTTTTGGTGAGCCTGGCTAGAGGTTTGTCGATCTTGTTTATCCTTTCAAAGAACCAGCTCTTGGTTTCATTGATTTTCTGTATTGTTTTTTTGGTCTCTATGTCATTTATTTCTGCTCTAATCTTTATTATCTCCTTCCTTCTGCTCACTCTGGGGTTTTCTTGTTGCTCTCTTTCTAATTCTTTGAGTTGTAGAGTTAGATGATTTACTACCATTTTTTCTTGTTTTTTGAGGTAGGCCTGTAGAGCTATAAACTTCCCTCTCAGGACTGCTTTCATTGTGTCCCATAGGTTTTGGATTGTTGTGTTTTCATTGTCATTAGTTTCCAGGATGTTTTTAATTTCTTCTTTGATCTCATTGGTAACCCAATCAATATTTAATAACATGCTATTCAGCTTCCAAGTGTTTGAGTATTTTGGGTTGTTTTTATTGTAGTTTATTTCTAATATTATGCCATCGCGGTCTGAGAAGATGCTTGGTATGATTTCAATCTTCTTGAATTTGGGGAGACTTTGCTTGTGACCCAATATGTGGTCTATTTTTGAATCTGTCCCATGAGCACTTGAGTGGAATGTATATTCCGCGGCTTTGGGGTGAAGTGTTCTGAAGATGTCTATTAAGTCCATCTGATCTAGTGAGTCATTTAGGATTGCTGCTTCTTTGCTGACTGTTTGTCTAGAGGATTTATCCAGTGATGTTAGTGGTGTATTAAAGTCCCCTACTGTGATCGTATTGTTGTTGATCTCTCTTTGATATCTTCCAGGAGTATTTTTATGTATTTGGGTGCTCCTGCATGGGGTGCATAAATGTTTATCAGGATTATATCTTCTTGTTGTATTGATCCCTTTAGTATTATGAAGTGGCCTTCCTTATCTTTTGTTATGGCCTTCACTTTGAGGTCTATTTTGTCAGATATAAGTAGTGCTACCCCAGCTTTTTTTCATTTACATTTGCCTGAAAGATATTTTTCCATCCCTTCACTTTCAGCCTGTGTGAGTCCCTTCTTCTGAGGTGGGTCTCTTATAGAGAGCAAATATATGGGTCATGTTTTTTTTATCCATTCAGCCACTCGATGTCTTTTGATTGGGGCATTTAGTCCATTTATGTTTAAAGTTATTATTGAAAGGTACTTGTTTGTAGCCATTTCTATTTTCTGTGCCTGTTTTCTTTCTTAGCTTTTTATTTCTTCTTTTACACCAGTGCTTTTAGCATTTCCTGCATTGCCGGCTTGGTGGTGTTAAACTCCCTTAGCCTTTTTTTGTCTGTGAAGCTTCTTATTTCCCCTTCAATTTTGAATGATAGCCTTGCTGGATAGAGTATTCTTGGATTCAGTCCTTTGCTTT